AGAGAATACACCAAAGGTATTCGCACAGGGTGTGTATATTGCAATCTATGCTTGATTACCAGAGAAGTTCACATGCACCCACTTAACTATTTTTTCAAAGAGTCAAAAGTTAAGGAAGTTCTAGTCTTTATGGAATGCTGGAAAATGCCTGCCTGAGTGTGTCATCACAAAGTGTACAAACAAAAACTCTTTTACACTTTCTCAAGTTGCTCTTGTTTTAGAGGTGATGTGCAACAGCTTTGTCATGACTCTGTCATGAACATGAGTTTTATCTCTACCAGATGCTCACTTCTGATAACTCAGTTTCCCATTTATCAACTCTTTTGAACAGTACTCTTCCATGTTTGCCCAGTCACTACAATAATGAACTAACTTCCATTAAACACATATGTGGTACTCTGGCAAAAGAACAAAGGGCTTAAAAATGAAAAAGTCTCCCTGTGGCCTTTATGCCAAAGTAACACAGCAAAGCAAGGCGTTGAAAAAGAGCAACTCTAGTTAGGGTGTTATGGTTGGTGTCATCTCTAAGAGCTCTATCAGTGGATTAATAGGTGAGCATCGTTTCTGTCAGTAACTTAGGCAAAAGTTTGCTAAGCTTGTTCAGTAACTGCAGGAACTCTTCTAGTCAGAACCTCAGCATACTGATACACACAGTTCTGCGTCAATTTTGAGTGCCTGGGGAAAAAAAGACTGAGGGGGTGAGGCCAGTAATAAGGCAGCCTAAGATAAACGCTTTTCAATCACTTAACACTCTGGCAGATGAAAATCAGGCTCTCCTGTTGCCTGAGCAATTTTTAACCAAGAAGCTTCAATGAAAGAAGAAGCTGCCCCTGGATATAGCTAATCTAGAAGGAAGGAGCTCTAAGGTGGCTGCTTTCAGGGCTTCTTAGCTAGGTATGTGTAAGTTAGGGCTGAACCTGTGAAACCTGTGCTGGGCCTTGGTTGTGCTGCGTTGGCTGTCAAGTCAATGCTTTAGTGTTACTTAAGGATCTATAGAATTTTTTGTTTAGATGATGCCTTCTGTCTCAATAGATCTGCTTTGTATGCTTGGACCAATGTTTACTGCATGCTTAAAATAAGGGTTCGGGCAGGGGAGTTGGTTCTGTGACCTTCTTTGTAGAGCCA